GCGCGCCACCCGCACTTCGCTCAATGGCAGTCGCCCGGAGGCGTCTCACTGCAAAATATTTACCGAACAATTTTTTGCCGATATTTTTGCTCGTAACGCTACACGCAGAGCGGCAGCCAGCCGTGGAGCTCTGCGGTGGAGGCCAGGCGGCGGACGCGTTGCCCCCTGCCCTGCCCGCCCCTTCTCCTCTTTCGCCCTGTTACGAACAGTCACGCGCTATACCCACGCTGTCTTACTTTGCAGGTAAATGAGCAATGGGTCATTAACGGATGTATTTCTGGAGCCAATTAATCCTTGCTCTTATCTGAGTTTACAAACTCATCTTCGCGCAATTTTTGCGGGGTTTCCGTTTCAAAACCTCTGATACAACACCACGATGCAAAGGACTCCCTCCCATGTGGGCGTGGCGTGAGAGAGAGAGAACCCTTTCTGTCGTTCGCGAAGGTCACTCAGAAAACTATTTGATCTGCGGAACAAAAAAGGAAGCCAAGAAAATTTTACTTCCGTGAAAGAAATTTTTGATCGTCCTATTACGTGATTTATTATCTTGATAAAGTTATGATCGGCTTGATATATTGACGCAGAGAGACTTGAGTCCTCGTACGATGATGACAATACTGGCGATAAGACGCGACCGCGACCACTAAGCACCACCTTTAGGAGACTCTTCCACTCGTTTCGTTCTCGCGTCACCGCCCGAACCCATATCAGAAACCATCGGGGGAGAATGGTCTCAAAACCACCTGTTGCCAGAGTGGCTCGCATGCTCGCTTTCTGTAACCCATCTGATTATTTGACGCCATCTGTCGGCGCGAACCACCGTGAGACCCGGATCTGGTAATCCTAACTTAAGAAATGTTGTTTTGCAGTTGTTTGGCAGATTTTTAACTAGTTGTGTCGAGCAACTGCATGACAGTTCTGTTTTTCAATTAGCGCCGGCAGCATTTAATCTAAAAACTAGTAACACACACTAAATCCTTATGCAGTTTGCTGCAAAATTTTATGCGAAACTATGTACAGTGTGTGCATAATTGGGCGCATTGTGTACACAGTTATGCATACAGATTTGTGCATACGTATGGCTTTATAAAACTCTTCAAGTTTATGCACAACAAAATGCATATGGGTTTAGTGTGCACAGATTGTAAATGGAGTTCACCCTGCTTTTGTGAATGAATGGCAATCTAGTGCCACATGTGGGGCTTATGTCATATCACCCCACTCCGCCACGCGCCGCCGCACGCCCCATCCCCGGGCTCCGTTTGTGTACCGCCCTGTCCGCCCTCCTGCCCAACAACAGCGTTCTGGCAAACTTGTCGGGGAAAGTTACAAAAAGCATCGGCGGATGTGTCCATCCTGTAACCATGCAGGAGACTACAAAGGACCTATCGAGTTTGACGTGGATTGTGCGTAGTTTCATTTTTTCCCTGTTTTTTTTTTGTAAGTCTGTATTTTTTTTTCGGTGACAGGAAGTGGAGAAAACTGTCATCCCACGTTTAGTGGTGACACCTCGTGCTTGTGTCAGGTTGACACCTGGGCAGATAAAATATTGCAAATTTTTAATTGGTTTCAGAGTGCAATTAACAATAATATGTTGTACCTGTTGGAAGACAACTGGGTAGACAACAAGCTCTCTGCACTGTTAGGAATGACTTTCAGGGGATGACATTTTGCTTGATGAGAGTTTCATTAATGAAAAATGTAAATAGCCACTTTTTCATCCGCTAATTTTCTTAGCTTCATTTGCTCTTTACTCACAATAGTTTTTCAACTAAACATTGTCGGGACGACGATCAATATAAACAAGTTGACCAATGGACAACAATTTGCTTTGAAAAACAACATATTTGTTAAACAACAACAGAACTTGGTCTGCGAATCGGAAAGGGGAAGAACGGTGCCGAACATCCAAATTATAATTTACTGTAATTATTGAGTTTTAATCTTGGGTTTTGGTTGGCCGTCCATCTCCAGACAAAAGCCAGATTTCGATAGTAAAAATGCAGTCATGCGAGTTGTCAGTTCCCCTAGGGAAAATGTTCTTCCCTGACTCTTGCCTGAATTCACGCTGAACTCGCTCGGACTGACTATGGAGAGAGCATAGGGACATCTCACCCTGAATCTTACATCAAAAATCTGAACTATGGCACGCATTCAGGAGCTGGACTGGGC